TTTTAAATTTGACAGAAAAAAACATTTCTCTGTCGATTCTTTTTAATTTTCCTATTTTTACGCAGGGTGCATAAAAACGGCTCGAAATGCAGTTCTCACGTTGCAAGCCGCATTCATCTCATCCATCTTACATTTGAATGCGTTGAAAAACTTTTCTCACCCGATATGTAATCTCTCTAATATGAACACCATCGCAATTACTTTACTGTTATCGAAATCTACTGCTCTATTCATCTCATCGCATGTTTTAAATCTTATAAAGCTCGCTGACTTTCTTCTGATTGATCAATTTTAATAATAAACATTTTAATAATAAACGAATAACACAGTTGACTATCTCGTCAGCATGAATCTTTACAGACTTTAATAATCCAAGAATTGTAATACATATATATATATATTATGCGATTTTTCTGCTTATAGCCAGAATGAAACGACGATAATAGTAACACATGATTTTTATTTCGTATCAGAATAATGCGAAATTTGCAATCATAAATGCAATATATCTGAAAATTGCTACTAGTTATAAACACATACCAACTCAGTTGTACTATACCGCCTGTATATTAGCATAGGAAACAAATCTATAATTTTTAATAACGTATATAGCTGCGTATATATGATAGGAAAAATTAACTTATTGATCAAGAGAATTCATTTAATTTATGATTCTCTCTTCTGTTTGCACAGTTAAAGTTAGTGCGATCAATATCACAGAGAATCTTCTCTTCGCCATTTCGGCAAAAAAAGATACCGACGACTTTACAATTTCGTTGAAAAGGAATCAGCAGCCAAGTGGGACGGTTTATTTCTTCAAGGTGAGGAACCAACATTATATTACACATTATCTGTCGAATGTATCCATATATGTATGTAACAAATAATTATTTTCGCCTTCATAGATATCATTCTCCTTATATATGCTCGTTAGCGTCATAGTGATGATTAACTTATTAATTGCTATGATGAGCGACACGTATCACAAAGTGATATCGCAGAGTGATATCGAATGGAAGTATGGTCTCAGCAAACTAATACGTAAGATGCAAAAGTAAGTAGATAAGTTTTTACATTTTCATAAATTTCTTGCTCTCCTCTCTTCAAATTTTAAATTTTAAATTAAATAAAACTTAAGTTTTTTTGTCGTTTCTAATTATATGGCGATAATTAAATTCCTTACTTTCTACTATCATGTAATTCCTTGATCAGAGACAGGAGACTTCCATAGAAAATTTATGATGCGAGACTTTTGATGCGCTTCTGTAAATTTGGAAAAAAAATCTTTATATTTATTATCGATCTTGTTTTTTTTCAAGAACAAAAACCGCGCCAGCCCCGTTAAATCTCATTACTACATGGACGGAGTATTTGAAGAGTGTCTGTATAAGAAAACGCAATGCAAGGCAAAAGATTGACAGATCTCATGGTTACATGGAACCCGATGTGCATCAAAGAGACTTTCCGAAATATCCACTTTCCAGCGTACGTAGATATCAGATATGCTTGTTGCAGACGTATCGATTCGATTCATAATTATATTTGCCTGTTTAAAATTTTCATATCCGTTTGTGCTTTATTGCAGAAACGGATATGAAAATTTTAATTTCTTCATTATATATTGTAAACATGTGATTCTGCATATATATATATATATATATATATATATATATATAATAATTTATATATATATAATAATTATATATATATATAATATTATATATATATATATATATAATTATTATATATATATAATAATTATATATATATATATAATTATTATATATATATATATAATATTATATATATATATAATTATTATATATATATATATAATAATTATATATATATATATATATATATATATATAATAATTATATATTGTAAACATGTTATAATTTACTAATGTTATCGTATTTATGAGGATACATATTATTACACATGCAAAGTTTTAATTTCCAGATATTTTCGAAAATTTATTAAATAATTTCAGGTCTTTATATCTGTTCCTCTTTCGTCTTTTTAGAATAACAGAATAATTCCACGAACAAAGGACAGCGTCAATTTTTCATTACTTCAATTAAGTCCGGCCAACAGTCAAAGTTCCTTGAGTAATATTTCGAGGATAGACAACGTCGTCGATTGGGATACAATTCGTCGAAAATATCGCATGCAATTTTGCGGCAAAATCGAGAAATCGTCCGATGGGGTGGCAAAGCTTGCTAGAATGGCTTAACTAAATAAAATTTATGCAACATATATATGTGTGCAATATATAGGCGTCGTTTTTTTTATTACTACCTACTAGATATCGTAATCATATTTGTGTAATAGATACATATATATGTATATATAAGTAAAATACTTTCTATACTCTTTTGTACGTTTCTCTGCGATATTGCTATAATTGTAATAAATATATATACGTGTCATAAGTGGACATGCAAAGTTACGTTATCTAAATGTCCCACCGACTTCCTTTTATATCTCGCCTTTTCCAAACAGCGGTTCTGCGTTGGTTTCCAGGTAAAAAGTACCCCGAGCTTTAGTATTGACAAATTCTCCCATCACAGTAGAATTATTGCTGCATTTACCAAGCTGGAAATCTATCCAATTGGCGCACCGTAGAGCGGGAAAGCCGTCAGGATGCACGATAGACTCGGCAAAAAATTCATGCGATCTACTGTGGACTACAGGTTTCTAAAAATAGAAATTGGATCAGTTCTGTCACATATTATACAGCTTAAATATAGGCTACGAATATCTTATGTACGACGTACGGGCTGAAAGTACTGGACATCCGGGTTGTCTAAATGTTCCTCCGTTCGGATAGAAATCCACGTGGCCGATGGGTCTGAGGATGCCGAGACTACCGGCACAGGTGTGTATGATGTCGACGAAATCGGCGTCTGTGGAATCTAGCCCGCTCAGCCGCGTCTTCAGATAAGGTGTCTCGAAGGCTGGTCCAGCTGGATCAAGTCCGGTGATGCGACCGAGTCTTCCCCGCATATAATTACCAACGTACCCGGCTACATGGGCACCCAAACTATGCCCCAGTACATGGATATCACTGTAGGAAACTTGAACCTCCGATCCGAGAAATTTTATAAACGCAGCTATGTATTCTCCTACCTGTAAACACACAAATCTTGTGTATATATATGTGCAATTTCTTGTAAAAAGTTGATATATTAGAATAATGAGTTAGGAATTTCCAGAATTTTGCCATGTATCAATTTTTGTTTTAATATAAATTTTTAATATAAATTTATAAATTAATTATGAATTAATTGTGAATTAATCTATCAATAGTACTTATAATCTGTACATTAAAAAAATTGTCTCTATTCCAATACGTGATTGATACAAATTTTGCGATTATGCAGCATCGTTAAAATATATTATAATTTAAAAAATTTTTTAAATATACTATAATTTTAAAAATTCTTTTCATTAACTGATCTGTTAATTTTTTTTGTAAGATACGCGAAAATATCGCTCACCAGACGAGTAATTTTGGCAGACGTTAGATATTCCTTGGTTGAACCAGCGAACCAATTTACGCAGATTACATTGTAATCTCCGATACTAAGATAATTTTGTCGAATGTTATTTATCCAGAAAGTATTTCCGCTCTCTGCCCATCCGTGAATGATGATCTTGGTTGGCCATGTAGAGTTAAACGGCGATTCTTTCAGTTGTGCACTATCACCCACTCGTAGAGAAACAGATTGCTCTTTATTATCTTTGGTGTAAAGCTCATAATTTATATTCTCCGCTTTCAAATCCGAATCAATGATGCTGCCAATCACCGCGTGATCATTCGAAATGACCGGTGTCGGGTTCAGGAAGATCTCCAGGAGACCTTCCTCGGGACGGAAGTCTTGAAAGTTTTGAATCGATGGTCGATGATTTGGTAAATCAACTGAATTAATAGGTACATCTAAAAAACATGATTGAAAAATAATGAAAATGTGGACGACACTCTCACCTTAATTTGTAAGTAAATCATTATATTTTCGATTAGAAAATTGAAACTAGATATGGAAAAAAATCAGATTACTTAGGAGCAAAGATATGAAGAACGTTGCAATAAGAAACATTGTACTATTTTTTGACATTATTGCGTTGCGAAATTTTTCTTATATACCTTGATGTTACATCAGCGGAAACCTTATATCGTTTGATCCATTACATCTTATTATGCCGAACAAGAAATACATAATGAGGATGCTCCACGAACTTCCGGCGTTTGTTTACTCTATACTTAAATGTATCGAAACAATATATGCCACATATGGAAATTGATATAGTTTCATTTACTATCTTACATTTCAGGATCAGCCAAATATAAATACAAAATACAATTATATTTGTGCAAAAATATTTTATTAATAGTAAAAGAGAAACAAAGTATAAAAATATTCGAGTTGTATTAGACACTTATCATTTAACTTATATTTTAATGTTAGGCAATTGTCATTTGATTTTTTTTGATGGCAAAACTCCCATTTTGGCATACATCATAATGAAATATCCTTAATGCTGCTTATGTAAAAAACGTCGTTTTATTTAATTTTCTTTGCATTAGAAAAAGTAATATTTAATATAAAGTTAATATTCATAGATAATTATATGTAATAAACAAATATTATCAATATAAAGACTTTATTTTACAATCTATTTATCTGTGACCCAGTGAGAAATGATAGGAAAGATGGCTACTAGACAACTATAAATGTATAATAGACATTTAATAGACCTATCTTTGATCTGTATTTCTTACTGGAGGAGGAGAACCTTATTATTATACTTTTTTCAGCATACAGAGCATGTATTAAAAAAACATCTAAAATTATCAAAATTATAAAGATAGAAAATTAATACTTAATCTTTGGGAATGTATATGATTGCATACTAAAATTATTAAGAGTATACAACAGTGCAAAATTGCAACATTATTAAGAATTGGATTTTTATGAGAAAAATACTAGGAATCGACTTTCTTTTAGTGAGCCAAGATTTATCTCATATGAATTATCTTATAAATTTTCCTGGCAATTCATTGAAAAATTGTAACATTAAATTGTCATATCCACCAAGTAATAAAAAAATAAGCTTAAAATTCATCAAAAAAATCTTAAAATAATAATATTAACATTATTAAAATAGTATTTTAAGTATTGTTAAGGATTGTTAAGAATTTTATAGTTGCAATTTAATAAACAAGAAGTTAATTTTATACTTTGCTCTTTTGAAGATAGACGATTTCTTTGCCATATCTTATATTTGTAATAACATTCAATCCTAATGCAGCAGCTTCTTCACGTACAAGTTGAAGTTCTTCTTCTGTAAGACCTTCAGGAAGAGAAAGTCTTGATACAGTACTATCACTGATAATGGTTTCGCAAAAATCACGCATGACATTTCGAAATTCGTTAATTTTTTGTTTTTCTCCAGGCTTGAAACAATTTTTCCATAATTTTTTCTCAATTTCCAAATATTGACGCTGTTTCACATTTGTCTGTTTATAAAAAAGATATTAATATATCTTATTTTAACACATATTAGAAGAAACATATTTTGAAAAATCTTCAACTCACTTGCTGAATTACTTTTCCAATTTCTTCATTACTTGGTTCCAATGTATAAGCTTTTCGCAATTTCTTCATTGCTTCATCATATTCTCCAAGATTCAATAAAGCTTTTCCAAAACTAGAAGAAAAAATGATTTCAATCATGATATTAATTTAATATACGATTAATTCATAAATATTACATCAATTAACATATTCCCATACTTGTAATGGCTTTTAGCTGTTGGTATTGGTACTCGTCCACAAGCCATACAGGCAAGACGTGGTAAGTCTATTTTGTTATAGCATATTCCAAGATTGCTATAAGCCTTGAAAGTAATTCATTCATTTCTTCTTCTTCTGAATTATCTTTCAATTGTACATTTTCTAAGCAGTCAATAATTCTTTTATATCTACAAAAAAAATATATTATACACATATGACCATATTACATTTATACAAAAGTCTTTAATATAATGTTATTTACTCTCGTATTGCCCGTTTGAAATTAAGCTTTCTACAAGTATCCTTAGCAGCCACAAACATATGTAACATTGGCTCTTTTATATGTCTAAAAGACTGCTTTTCTTCTGTTTGAAGATTTTGATAAGTATCTGCAGAACCATCATCAAGGTAATCAATTAAGTGAACTACAAATACCACTTCCTCATTGGGTGGAATACGTGGTGGACATCCAAAAGCTTTATAAGCAAGATCGGGATGTATCAAAAATATTGCTATTTCATGCTTCTGCATAGTACTGATGCCGATCTCTAAACCAGGTATAATGTATCCTTGGCCTAAACGCAGTGTCCTTGGTTTTCCAGAAGAATAAGTTGAATCGAAAGGTTCATCTCTGTCTTCAAAATATCCAATGTAATGAAAGGTAATTTGACCATTAGCAGGAACAACTTCTCCAACACCTTTTTGCTTCACATATTTCATGACCTAACGTAACATAATTTCATAAGTAAAATTGTTTACATTTTAAAACATGCAAAAAGGTTACGTTTCACTTTGATTTTTTAAAAAATATTTTTGCAAGTTTTATCTAGTTTTATTTAATTTTATTTACGTATTTTCAATATATCAAAAATATTATATATCTCCTCTTATTATTCTCTTATTATTCTCTTTTCTAAAGAAAATAATTTCTAAAGAGAATAATTTATAAATAATAATAAAATAATAATAATAATAAAATAATAAAATCTGATTTACTTTTTGATCTATGGTCAAACTTGTCATCTTTGCTTTTAACTTTTCGAAGCTCATACCGTAAAGGGATACGGATCCTTTCTCATCATCTCCATCATTTTCATCTTCGAAACCATTCATGTTTAACATGTTTAACATCTCCTCATTGCTGAAATGTACGAATGGAGAAAATGAAAATTCTTCGTCGTCATTGTCTTCTCCAATATAATCCTCTCCAATTTCAAAGGTAACCCCCTCTTCGCCTATCAAATCTCTGAAAAGAACGATACAAATATAAAAATTATAAATATAAAAATTAGCATGTAACGACCATGCAAGTTTATTATTAATTAATCAGTTTTAACGTACTCGAGCCTGAATCCAGCTGCAGGATCTGATATGTGCTTTGCCATTTTAATAAATTGATTCCTCGGAGAAAGAGATATTCTTTATCTTGTATTTTTCAATTCACTTTGCTTCCTAAATCTCTTGTCCGGAACACTCTCTCAAAACGAGAACGACGCAAGATCATGTAAGCGATGAGAAAGAGGACATAACTCTTCAGTTTTTCGACAGAGGTCTCTCCCTTCTTTCTCAATCGGTAATAAATGAATTAATGAATGAGTACATTCACTTTTATGAATGAGTACATTCATTTATGAATGATAATTATATGTATGAATAATACA